ACGTGGCAATAATAGTGAGGTTGGCCCAGGATTGGGCAGTGTTTCGTTCTGTTGTGTATAGGGTCGCTATGAGTCGGTGCTGACTCGATGGCACCTAACAACAACAACAGGAGTCCTGGTGTGGCACTATAGGATAAACACTGGGCTACAAGGTCAGCTTGAACCACAGGTTGATGGTTTAAACTCACCAGCCACTCCTTGGAATCCTCTAAAGTTGCTATGAATCGTAACCGACTCCATGGCACTTAACAACAATATTCCAATAAAATGCTATTGGCATTGACATTTTAATTTCATTATTTCACAATTCATCAACTATTCTTTTAATTTCTCAATCATTCAGAAATACATAAACAATTCTTAGTTCGCTACCCTTCAAAGTCAAGTTGTTGTTCTTAAGTGCCGTCTAGTCTGTTCCGACCCATATCGACCCTGTATCGGATTTCCTAGGAGCAGTTGGTGAGCTTGATCCGCCATACCTTGCGACTGAATGAGACTATTCAGTCCAGCACGTTATCCCACAGCGACACACCAGGCCCAAAGAAACTCTTCGAATTTGGCCCGCGGATTAGTTTGAAACCTTTTACTCTGTAACTTTGGTGTGATGCTGTGGGCTAATGTGCTGTACTGCAGTCGCTTTCTATCGCAAGGTACGGCGGTTCAAGCTCACCAGCCTCTCCTAGGAAACCGTATACACGGACAATATGGGTCCGAAGCCCCCAGCCGATGCTTCACACCAACTCTGCGACTCTAGCGCACTAGATCGCGTTCCCGGGATCGTTATGTACAGCGTATGAAAAGGGCTGGCTCAGATTGGCCCGTTGGGACAGCTGAGCACACTCAACCAATCAGCGCAGTGTCTCGCCCCGCCTGGCGCCCTCGACCCAAGGGGAGGAAGCCACGCCCCCTTGTGCACTAGGCACGCACTTCCGGGCGCAGTCGCGGCGTGACGTCAGGAGGAGGGCAGGTAGGTGCTGGTTGAGAGGCGGGTTGCCGGGCTGGGGTCGGTTTCCGGAGGTAACCTCGTAGGGTCTCCGAATACGGACACACTTGCCGGAGTCAGGGAGCTTCTGCACAGTCCTGGCCCAGCACCCCGGCCGCGACTCCCGAACCAAGTCCTCCAGGCCTCGGACATGACCGTGCCTCCCAGCTCCACCCCCATTTATCCTGACGGGCTCCTTAGTTTCCTCATGTGGTAAATGGAGCGCACAAGCCGGGATGGCATCAGAGGTTTAAGATGTGCGCAAAGCACTAGGCATGAGCAATGCTAAACACGGCCCACATTTAATTCCTACTGGACTTATAACGTATAAGTCTTCATTGCCACGATGTCAGATGGCTATGGATACTTTGACAAGTCCCATTTTACAGATGAGGAAATTGAGGTTCCGAGAGGTTAAGCAACTTGCCCAAAGTCGTGCTTCTAGGAAGCAGCAGTGTTGGGGTTTGCTTAACACCAAAGACAAACCAAACCCTTTGCCATCCGGTCATTTCTTACTCATGGTGGCCCTGTGTGTGATGGTTTTCTTGTAATCTTTAGGAAAGGGATCCCTGGTGGCGCACTAGTTCAGTGCTCAGCTGCTAAGCAAAAAGTTAATGGTTCAAGCCCACCAGCCATGCAGCAACAGAAAGATTACAACTTGGAAACCCTATGAGGCAGTTCTACTCTGCCCTGTTGAGTTGATATGAATTGGAATGAACTCGACAATAATGGGTAATCTTTACAGAAGCAGATCACTAGCCCTTTCTTCCATAGCAGTACTGGGTTGGTTTAACTTCCAACTGTCTGTTAGGGTTGTGGTTTAACTTCCAACTGTCTGTTAGGGCTATCGAGTAGGTTCTGACTCAGCGGCCTTATGCACAACAGGACGAAACACTGTCCTGTGTCAACCTCACAATTATTGTTAAACTTTAGCCTATTGCTACTGCCACTGTGCCAGTCCAGCTCATTGGGGGGTCTTCCTCTTTTACACTGACCCTCCACTTTACCAAGTGTGATGTCCTTCTTTGGGGACTGACCCCTCCTGATATGTCCAAAGTATGAGAGACAATGTCTCGCCATCCTAACTTCTAAAGAGCATCTGGCTGTACTTCTTCCAACATAGATTGGTTTGTTTTTCTGGCAGTGTATGGTACTTTTAATATCCTCCTCTAACATTGTAACTCAAATGCATCAATTCTTCTACGGTCTTCTTTATTCATTGTCCAACATTAACCTGCATATGAAGCTATTTCTGTTAGTAGTTAAGTGCAGATATCTTGTGCCACACAAGGTCCTCCATTTCAACAGGTAGCATATGATCAAGAGTCAGTGGTACTGTAAGATGAAGTCCAAGGTGCACTGAAGGCATTGGCAAAGAACAAGACTCTAGGAAGTGATGGAATACAAATTAAAATCTTTCAACAAACTGATGCAGCACTGGAGGCACTTACTCATTTATGCCAAGCAATTTGGAATACAGCTACCTGGCTAACTGAAAGAGATCCGTATTTGTGCCCATTCCAAAGAGAGATGACCCAACAGAATGTGGAAATCATTGGAATGTATCATTAATATCATGCAAGTAAAAATTTGCTAAAGATCCTTCCAAAATGGCTGCAACAGTACATTGACAGAGAACTGTCAGAGGTTCAAGCTGGATTCAAACGGGGATTTGGAAAGAGAGACATCATTGCTGACATTAGATAGATCTTGGCTGGAAGCAGAGAATACCAGAAAGATATTTACCTGTGCTTTAGTAACTATACAAAAGCTTTTGACTGTGTGGATCATGACAAGCTATGGACTACATTATGGAGAATGAGTATTCTGGAACACTTAATTGTATTCATGAACATGCACACAGACCAAGAGGGAGTTGTTCAAACAGAACAAGGGTACACTAAATGCTTTAGAATTGGGAAAGGGATATGCAAGGAATGTATTCTTTCATCATACTTATTCAGTCTGTATGCTGAGCAAATAATCCAAGAAGCTGACTTAATATGAAGAATATGACATCAGGATTAGAGGAAGATTCATTAACGATCTGTGATATGCAGTAGGTGATACAGCCTTGCTTGATAAAGGCGAAGTTGACTTAAAACACTTACTGATGAAGATCAAAAATCACAGCCTTCATTCAGTATGGGTTGTACCTCAATGTAAATAAAAATCTTCACCACTAGTAACATAATGATAGAGAAAAGATTGACGTTGTCTAAGACTTCATTTTGCTCAAATCCACTGTCAACACTCATGGAAGCAGCAGATTAGAAATCAAATGATGTATTGCATTAGGCAAATCTGCTGTACAAGACTTCTTTAAAGTGTTCAAGAGCAAAGATGTCAGTTTGAGGACTAAGGTGTGCCTGGCCCAAGACGTAGTATTTTCAGTAACTTCATACCCATGTGAAAGTTGTACAGTAAATAAGGAAGACCATAAAAGAATTCATATATTTCAATTACAGTGTTGGAGGAAGACTCCCAATGAGCTGGATTGGCACAGCTGGGCCCAAGTGTGACAATGATTGTGAGATTGGCTCAGAACCAGGCAGGGTTTTGTTCTGTTGTCCACAAGGTCGCTGTGAGTCGGAACTGACTCAACAACACCTAACAACAACAACAGGGACCTCCAAGGACCAGAGCCCTGTCTGGGCTATTTCCTGGGATGGTAAAACCATCTTAAGACAGCCAGCTCCCCTAAACCAGGTATTTTTCTCTGTGCAATCCCTTCTTGTGTGTTATTTCATTCACAGCAACCTCAGAAAGTCAGTCCTGTGTTCGTCATCTGCTCTCTTCAGGTGAGGAGATAGTAAGCTCAGGGCAGCCCAGCCAGTGAGTAGCGGGTGTGGGAGTCTAACCCAGGGAGCTGAAATGCTTACCTTTTCTATTGGCAAGCACATCTGCAGATTGCAGAACAGTGTATATGTCCAGGGCTCTGAGTGTGTGCTGCTCCCCAGCACGTCAGACCCCAGGCTCATTGCCCCACCTGCCCATGTTCCTCGTCCTCACTCATCAGTGACTGACTGGTAATGAGAAGAGTGCAGACTAAATGAAGCTGTGGAGACCACTCTTAGTGCAGCGACCGGCACACAGTACACGTCAGAAATCATTCGTGACCAAGCAGCAGCCTCTAGCACTCCAGGGTGACAGGCCCTGCTGATTTATTTAGCCTGCAAACTAAGAATGGTTTTACATTTTTTCAAATGATTGAAAAAAGATTTCATGACAGGAGAAATGTGTGTGAAATTCCAACTTCAGCATCTAGAAATAGTTTTATTAGAATTCAGCCACACTCATTTACATGTTTTACATGTTGTCGCGGCTCTCAAGCTACAAGGGCCAAAGTGAGTGGCTGGGAAAGAGACCATTTAGCCCTCAAACCAGAAATATTCTGTGGTCCTTTACACAAAGTTTGCTGATCCCTAATCTGGAGGGCACTTCTCTGCTTCACAATGTCTCTTCAGCGGTGAAAAGTAGAACTTCCTTTAATCTAAACTAAAAGTCACCATGGCACCACCATTTACGGAGCACTTGCTACCTGTGTCGCCAGCACTGACACCTTTGGCCCCACCATCTGTTACTTTGGTGATTCACCTGCTCAGCATTGCTCCCGAGCAGCCACTGTTTTAGGCACAGGGGCACAGTGCAGTGCGGCCTTCTTGTGGGGAGACACACCACAGACCACCAGATACAGGGCGATGTGATGGGAACTTCAGGAAAAAAGTGATCTGAGCTCAGGTGGTCTGTTATGTAAGATGTATGCAAAACTCTGATGGAGATGCTCTTAGAATCAAGACTACACCAAAGAGCTAGCTGTCCAAACAGACAGCGGTAGAGGAGTGATAGAGGCAGCAGCCTAGCGCTTGACTTTGCACACAACCCAGAAGCCAGTGCAGCTGGATGTAAGCCTGAAGGGGAGCCTAGGGCTTGGAGAGGCAGGTGGGAGGGCTGAGAGACAGGGAGGAGGCAATTGCACTGGTCCCCACAAAGATAGGGGCTGGAACAGGCTGGGGCCATGGAGGAAGTGAGAGGTGACCGATTTGATATCGTGTTGGAGGTAGAGTTGACTGGCTGCTCACTTTCTAAACAGACAAGCGCTACTCTTTGGATGCCTCCACACTCGGAGAGACTCGACTGGGCTGACATCACCTCACAGCCTTTAGCATCTTCATAGGGAAGTCCCAGGGACCTTCACCCAGACCCGGAAGGAGGACAGGACTGGGCAGTGAATCAGCAAGGCACAACCCACGTGTCTCTTCTATTCATATTGGCTGCATTGAAGGCGAGGAGCAGTAGCAAGTTTCCAAAATGGTGAGTAGACAGTCCACTCTCTGTGTCTCTCTTCCAGTCATGGATGTCACAGCAATAGCCCCTTTTTCCTCCTCCCAAACTCTTAAGAGTGTTACCTCCCCAGCCCAGCACTGCAGTCACCCCCTAAGGAGCTTTATTTCTGTTGTTATTTGTTTGTTTGTTTCGTTTTGTAAGTGAGATGAAATTCATCTAACATAAAATGCACCATTTGAAAGTGCAGGATTCCTTGGCATTTAAGCATTTCCCTCTCCAGTCCCTGTTTTCCTGCCCAGGTAACTGCTACTTTGTGCTCCATCTCTACTCCACATCACTGGAATCATACAACAAGTGGCCTTTAGTGTCTGGTTTCTTTCACTGAGCAGATTATTTTGGGGATTCCGCCACATTGTAGAATGTATCAGCACTGCATCCCTTTTTGTGGCTGAATAATAAATAATTCAGATGGAGCACAATTTGTTTCTCCACTCATCCAGTGGTTGATGGACATTTGGTTATTGTGATTAATGGTACTATGAATATGTGGGTACAAGTGTTTGCTTTGCCTTTTTCCTGTGAGCTATTTCAAATTCAAAGCCTGGTGTGGCACTGTAGGATAAGTACTGGACTGCTAACCACAAGGTCAGCTGTTCACATACACCAGCCACTTCAGAAACTCTATACAGAGTTGCTATGAGTGGGCTCCAACTCTGTGATACTTGACAACAACAACATTTCAAAGCCTAGTATCCAAGTCCTATTCCCCAGAGCAGGTTGTCTGTCAGGGGAACCTCTAGGTAGGTTCTGGGTATCCATATTTTAGAAGCTCCTTGGGTTCTTGTTATATGCTGCCATGTTTGAGAACCACTGCATAGGTGGTTCATTGAATCATTATACCAGCCTTTAAAGAATTGCAGTGTGAGTGTGTTTCATGAAACCTGGTCTGAGTTGTACCACATGTGTGTTTACACAGTTGTAATGTAAACTGGTTTTTACTGAGCATCATGGTCAAACAAAGTTTGAAAGCCCTCACTCAAGAAGAATCGTAATTGCTTGGAATTTTTCACAGTCGGAACAGCAGGTTTCCTTAGCCTCAGACCAGACACAAAGCCCACTGCCCACCTTCAGAATCTACCCCACCCACAAGGCTGTGCGGGTAGGTTTTCCATGGTCTCTCTGAGTCACCTCTCTCTTCTACTTTCCAGGGTGAAAGGAAAGGTGTAAACAAGTATTACCCTCCAGATTTCAATCCTGAAAAGGTAAGGGCCTAATTCCCTGCCATGCATCTGCAAGGGCCTTCTCGAGGATGATTTGGAACCCCCAACCCCACCCCCAGGTGCCTAGGGCCTGGTACCATAAAATAGACCATCATTGGATCCACCCGCTGTCACTGCATGACAGGAGAATGGGGATCTATAGGGAAGACAGCAGCCAGCCGGCAGCCCTCCTGGGGAGGGGATGATGTTGGGTTCGGGACAACGGCTGTAGAATGTCCAGCATCTCTCAAGGTCTCCCTGCCTCCCACCCAGGCCATGAACCATCTCCACATCTGCGTAATAGCATGCCTCCCGTTGATAGCTCTTTACTCGCTGCCCAGCAGAGCTTGGGGTAAGGGTCAGCGCCCCCCAACTTGCCTCCAGTCCCTCCCTTGATCTGGACCTCTTCTTCCCTCCCCACGCCCACCAGGCCCACTTCCTTACCTCCTTTCAGTACCTCCAATGTCATCCCAGCGCTCCTGGTGTGGCACTGCACTGGACTGTGAACCACAGGCCCACCAGCTGCTCCTTAGAAACGCAGTACAGGGTCACTGTGTGTCGGAACCAATTCAAAGGCTCTTAACAGCAACAACAATGTCATCCCAGAGAGGCCCTCCCTGATCGTCACCTTCTCGTTCTGTCACATCTCAAAGGGCTCCATTATGGTCACAACTGACGGAGAGTTCACGGAGCTGCATGTCAGCCATCTCCCCCAACTAGCATGTCCACTGTACCAGCGCAGGAAATCTCCTCTAGCTGGTTCCTGCCTGGGGCCCCACACAGTAGGTGCTCAGTCAGTGCATCATGGCTGTGTGACCCTGGGTACCTCAGTACAATGAGCTGACCTCGGGATTATTGGGGATTTGCGAAGAGACAGGGAGCGTTTGGCAATATTATCATCTTGCCTGGTCCTCCCCACAGACTGCAGTCATGATCAGTGTCACACACACACAGCCCAGACAAATGGGGGAAACTGAAGCTCAGGAAGCTGAAAGTCAGTACATGGCTCTTTCAGTACTTGATCAAGAGAGGGAACATTCACATGAAGGTATTCCAGATTCCAAGTCCCCGTGCTCCCCCTGGACTTCCGTGCCTCCGAGTTGCTGTTAGGAGCCCCTGTAGGCACAAGAAGGAAGCCTCTTATGACCTATGAGGCTTGGCCCAGTGCTCCCCCGCCCAGCAGGGCTGACCTGCTCCCTTGTCGTTTCCTCCCAGCATGGCTCTCTCAACCGATACCATAACAGCCACCCGCTTCGGGAGCGGGCTCGGAAGCTTTCCCAGGGCATCCTCATCATCAGGTAAGGCCCTGGCATCGCGCAATGACCCCTGCCCCTTCCACCTGTGTCCACCACCAGGAGAATTGAGTACTCCGGATTTCTGCAGCCAGTGCTATGGAATGTTACTGTATCACTCAGCTACTGCTGCATCAAAAACAGTCCAGTTCAGTTACTGTTAAAGTCACCGTGAACTCACAGTGACCCCAGTTGTGTCAAAGTACAACGTTCTTTCAATTAGCAGTTGAGGGTGTTACTTAGGGACTCCATGTCATAAATAAGGTCCCTGTGTGGCACAAATGGCTAAGTGCTCTACTAGCTGAAAGGCTGGCAGTCTGCTTCCAAACAATCACACTTGGGAACTCCATGAGTCTGAGTCACCTGTACCACAACTAAACAGCAAGAAGAAATGACAATGATACCAGTCACTTTCATCTTCTGCTGCCTTATTCAGAGGGAGTTTAGCCTGCGCGGGGTTGAGGCTGGGGCTCTCTCCTGGTTCCGTCAGGGCTGTGAAGGCTACTCGATGTAGGACTGTGTGTCATCCCACGCCCCGACTCCAGAGATGCTGCCCTGACGTTGGCCAGCAGCGCTGAGGCCGGCAGTACAGAGCTGCTTTCTGTTGCTGCAGGTTCGAGATGCCATATAACATCTGGTGTGACGGCTGCAAGAACCACATCGGCATGGGTGAGCCTGCACCCTCTGCACCCACCCCACCTGACCAGCCCGGTCTCAGACACACAGCGCTCTGGCTGTAGGCACCAGGCAGAGACCTGCCACTCCAAGGCTCCCGGTTGGAGTCAGGAGGACACAGGTGCCCTGATAATGGGCTGGTTTAGTTAGGAGCTGAGGCTCTGAACCAGTTTTGGGGTTCAAATCGTGATTCTGCCACTTCCCATTTTGGTTACCCTGAGTAAGCGCTTGAGCTGCTGTGTGCCTCAGGGAAATCTAGATGATATTAAGTGCCAAGGACCATGCCTGGCACACAGGAAGGCAGGTGGTGGAGCTGCCCTGCTTCGCATTGCTTGTCTCACTCTGGGCCCTGACCGTCCACAGGCACGGTCACTGTGAGGCCTCGGAACAGAGGATGTATGTGCGTGTGTGGGCGAAGCCAGCAGAAGTATAGGAACACTCAGGTGACAGAAAAGGACTCTGCCTGGCACCCCGAATGGGCCACCTTCAGGGCTGTGCCCAGGAAATGACAAGTAAAGTCACAGACTGCCGCCCACCAGTCCACACTCTGGTTTTCTTCATTTTTTTTCATCCCATAAACAAGGCCAAACAAAATCAGGTGTCTGTTTTAACCAGTGGTGGTGGTTGTGTGCAGTCACGTTGGGTCCAACTCCCAGTGACTCCGTACAGGGTGTATGAGGGGAGCAGAAGGCCTCATCTTTCTCCCCAGGAGCAGCTAGTAGATTCAAACTGCTGACCTTGCAGTTAGCAGCCCAACTCATAACCCATTATACTACCAGAGCACCTTTTTCTAACCAAGAAATCAGCACAAAACAAAGCCTGAGCATTTTCTAGAACAAGAGGCTGTGACCACACCCCCGTGGAGGAGCACCCTCCATCTCATGGTGGTCACGCTGGGATTTGAACCTGGCCCTCCAGCTCCAGCACCCCCTCTCTCGTTTGAACCCATATCACAACACTGGACCTAGCTCTTCCCCCTTGATTAGCAGTGGCCCCCACACACAGCAGGCATGCCTGGAGCCTGACCTGAGTGAGCCTCTGTTCTTGTCCTCTCCTCCTAGGTGTTCGGTACAACGCAGAAAAGAAGAAAGTTGGCAATTACTACACGACCCCAATCTACAGGTGGGGACAGCCCCGGCAGGTGTCTCAGGGATGTGGGGTGACTAGGATGAAGGGCTATAAAGGATCTGAATGGGAGAGAAGCTTGTACCCCCTTCCTGACCTACAACCCCCGTGGGGCTCACTGGAAGCCATTCTAGGACAGTAGTAAGGGCATGGACCACCTCCACGTAGAGCCCTCAGTGGCTCCTACCTCACTGTGGTAGAGGCCCCAGGCCTGCCCCATCCCCCGTACCCTCTACCCTCTACCCTCTACCCCTGGGCTAACACAGTCAGCTTGCTGCCTGCACACCCCCAGGGACTCTCCCACCTCTCCTCTCCACCTTCCGCTTCTGTTCGAATACCAGCTCCCACAGACGCCTGTCCTAAGACGGCATCATACCCCGCTTGGAGGGCTACCAGTGTGCCCCACCAGAATGTTAATCCCCTAAGAGCAAGGGGCTGAGCGCATTGCCGCTTCCCCAACAGTGTAGTGAGTGGGGAGGTTGTTGAATGAATGAACGAACAAACAAACAGACTTTGGCCCCATTGGCAGAGATCATTCCAGGGGTGGGACTGCGAGATACCACTCACGTGGCCCCAGATACAGAGCCTGGCGCATAGTAGGTGCTGAATGCCATGGGTGAATGTAAGGAGGCATATGGGGGCGGGGAGGTCCCAGAGGGCCAGTGGAGTGGGGCTACAACATCCTGACTACAGACCCCTGGCCAGGTTCCGGATGAAATGCCACCTGTGCGTGAACCACATAGAGATGCAGACAGATCCAGCCAACTGTGACTACATCATCGTGAGCGGTGCCCAGCGCAAGGAGGAACGCTGGGACATGGAGGACAATGAGCAAGTGCTGACGACAGGTGAGCGCTGCCTGCCTGCCAGGTGCACCTGAGGCCGACCGGGACCGGCCCCCAGAGGCCCAGCCACACTCTCACTGTTCTAGAGCATGAGAAGAAGCAGAAGCTGGAGACAGATGCCATGTTCCGCCTGGAGCACAGCGAGGCCGACCGCAGTGCGCTCAAGAAGGCCCTGCCTACCTTGAGCCACATCCAGGAGGCCCAGAGCGCCTGGAAGGATGACTTCGCCCTCAACAGCATGCTGCGGAGAAGGTTCCGGGTGAGTGTGGCACTGCCTGGGGACTCCACATCACTGCCATCCACACACCCTGGAAAGGGAGTCAGGACCACCATGTCCTGCCTGTGGCCAAGAAGTGGACCTCCTAAGCCCCCACTTATCCAGTGGTGGTCGCTTCCCTCCTTCGTGGTACCTGTGGAGGTGCCTGGCGCAGTGATTCTTACTCCCCTCAGAAACTCTGAGGGGAGACCTTCACTGGCAGCTGGTCCTCAGAAGGAGGGAAATCCAAGCTGGTGGCGGGACATTAGGTCAGCCCTGGCCCCACTGTGGGAGGTGACCTACGCTCTGTCATGACACTCCCAAACTAAAATGAAGTTCATAGATCAGTTGATGTTGTTAGGTACCATTGAGTCAGTACTGACTCATAGCAACCCTATGCACAACAGAACGAAACACTGCCCAGTCCTCAGCCAACCTCACAATTGTTGCCATGCTTGAGCCCATTGATGCTGCCACTTGGCCAATCCATCTCGTTGGGGGTCTTCCTCTTTTTCTCTGACCCTCCACCTTACCAAACATGATATCCTTCTCCAGTGACTGATCCCTCCTGATGATGTGTCCGAAGTAGGAGAGATGAAATTTGACCATCCTGGCCTCCAAGGAGCACTCTGGCTGCACTTCTTCCAACACAGATCTGTTGGTTCTTTTGACAGCCCATGGCACTTTTAATATTCTCCTCCAGCACCATAACTCAAAAGCATCAATTCTTCTACAGTCTTCCTTATTCACTGTCCAGCTTTCACATGCCGTATAAGGTTATTGGAAATCCCATGGCTTGGGTCAGGCACACCTTAGTCCTCAAGCTGACATCCTTGCTCTTCGACACTTTAACAAGGATCTCCGTGGTGATAACATCCTATAGTAGCTGCCCTGTGTGGATGTGCTCCACAGGCCGCAAAATCTCTGCTGGCACTATGAGAGTTACTGCTGGGTGGAGCTGGGGCGAGAATGCTCGGTGCAATATCACAGGGTTGGGGTCCGGGTTTGGACGAGTGTAAATGAGCTTTTACCCTCCTGGATGTCAGTTAGGGCATCAAAGGGTCTAGCTGGATCCTCTTGCTCTGTGGGGCACCTCAGAGGACAGCAGGGGTGGCCACGTGCCCCAAGGGTTTGTTGCTCTTCTGCCCCCCTGAAAGCCCTAGACTCACTGTCCTACACACGCTTCTTTCCCAGCCCCCTTTCTGCATTTCCAGTCACTATTATTAGGAGTAAAATGCCAGCTTTCTTCCTAGTCATTTGTTACTAGGGATCACCCTCCAGCCAGCCCAGGCCTGCACAGTGCATCCAGCCAGTGCAGCCCTTCCTCCTGCAGCAGCCAGAGGGCGCCTGTGGATGCCGAGTCAGGGCACCTCCCCATTCAACTCACTGAGGCTCCCACCTCACCCAGAGCCAGTGCCACCCATGTGGTAACCTGGGGTCTCATACACACTCCTCCCGTGCCAGACCAGACAGAAGCCCAGTAATGTTTCCTGGCCTAATGTCATTCCACTAGTAAATCTGGAATGTCACTGTCTGTCATGGCAGCAGTAGTGACAGAAACAGCTACCAAAATCACACTTTGCATTTACGCTATCATGCAGTCCAAACGTGTTCACATTCTGACTTTTCTTCTTTCCATTTCTGCTAACATACAGCCCAAACGTAGTCACATTCTGACTTTTCTTCTTTTTCTTTAATTACTACATTCTTAAAAGAATTCTTTGATACAAGCTCACTACTATATGATAAGCACTGGACTGCGAATGACAAGGTCTACAGCTGGAGGCTGCCAGCGACTCCTTGGGAGAAAGATGAGTCTTTCTGTTTCTGTGAAAATTGAAAGCCTCTGAAAGCCTGTACAGGACTACTGTGAGCTGGAACCTACTCGAGTGATAGGAGGTGGAACTGACTTAACAGCACTTTACACAACAGCTTAGCACAATATTATAGCGCAAACACCAGAAACAGAACAAAACCAGTGACGATAAAAACACCAGCAATAGCGAATCCTAGTATATGTTTTGTGGTCTGCAGATGAAACCATGTGACTGGCATCATTGCTGTTAATTAGGTGATGATACGTTACGTTGTCGTTAGGTGCGATGAAGTCGGCTCCACCCCACAGAGACCCTATGTACAACAGAACAAAGCACTGCCCATCCCTGCACCATCCTCACAAGTGCTGCCGCACTTCTGATATAGTACTTTACATCGTTGTTGTTAAGTATTGTCGAGTCGGTTCCGACTCATAGTGACCCTGTCTAGTGTTTCCAAGGAGTGACTGGTGAGCTTGAACCTCCAACCTTGCAATTCAAACTGACTTTGCAGTCCAGCGTATTAACCCACATCACCACACCAGAACTTAGAAGATTTAAAGAGTAAATCAGCATTGAATAGATACACGATGGGCTTATGAACATATCTTGGTCGAAATAACTACTAGGATATTTTTATTAAAAATCATGAATTTCTGTTGAGACTGCACAAAAATTCTGTAGACAGCCATTTTGGTGCCACCCCCTGTGACAATGTCACATGGTATGGGTGGTCTACACCCCCCACCCCACCCCCAGTGATGCATTTCTCCCAGCAAAAGCCAAAGTCCTCTGTAAAGCCCACCAGGCCCTTCCTTCCTCCCTGCCCCCCGTCTCTGCCGTCTCTCCCCCACTCCCCCTCCTCTCATCACTCTGACCTCAGGACCTTGCACGTGCTGTTCCCTGCCTTGCCATACTTCTGCAGACACCTGCCTGACCCCCTCACCTACCAACTGATTTCTTGCCTGCTTGCCCCCTCCAACTTCAGCTCCCTGAGGGAGTACATGGGTTTTGTCAGCTCACTCCCAGACCTGCGCCCTTCTAATGCTTGTTGAGTGACTGAGTGAAGGGATGGAGCACGGGCCAGTGGTGTGCCTCCCATGTCCCCACACGACTGTCAGAGGAGGAGACCGAGTCCTCAGTGCTGGAGCGACTCCTTCCTATCCACCCCCCTACCCCCCAGGAAAAGAAGAAAGCCATCAAGGAGGAGGAGGAGCGGGACCAGGCTCTGCAGGCCAAGGCCAGCCTGGCCATCCCGCTGGTACCTGAGACTGAGGATGACCGCAGGCTGGCCGCCCTGCTCAAATTCCACACCCTGGACTGTGCGTGGGGGGCTGGGGCTGGGGTTGGGGGTCGGGGCTCTGGACTCCCGCCCCCACTCAAACCCCTCTCCCCTGCCCTTGCAGCCTACGAGGACAAGCAGAAGCTCAAGCGGACAGAGATCAGCAGTCGCTCCTGGTTCCCCTCTGCATCTGGGTCGGGTGCCGGCAGCAGCAGCAGCAGCAGCAACAGCAAAGCCGGCAGTGTTCTGATGAAGCTGGCCCAGAACCGCAGGCCTACCCCCGCGGGCTCCCACTTCACCATGGGAGACCTGGGCATTGTGCGGCGGCGGTCTCGGGAAGTCCTGGAAAGCCCCCATGATGCCCCTGAGACCCCTGAAACCAGGGAATCACAAGTGCCAAAGAGGAACACCCAGAACAGGCCTGCATCCCCCCAAGACTGCTCTCAGGACACAGCCAAGATCCCCGAGAGCAGCTCACCCCAGGAGGTAGCTGACACCTCCTCGGACACCCCGCTGCCCTGTGGCCCCAGCACCTCCCTTGTGGCAGACTACTCAGACTCGGAGAGTGAATGATTCCAGTTCTCACCTGCCCAAAACCTGCCTTCCCACCACAGTGGAGCTATTTATTTGGTCCCCATGAGAGGATCCCACATCCCTCATTAAAGGCCCACCTCTTTGTCGCCCACTTCCAGTTACTAGCTGGGCTCAGCAGGAGCCTGCAACTTTGCGTGGATCAGAACAGGCTCCCCGGAGGAGGGGGCTTCGAGTGAAGGGTGGAGAGGAGGGTGCCCACAGGGTACCCAGGGTTGGTGCCAGACAAATCCAAGGCATACGGGAGGGGAAAGTGAGCAGGGTTCACACAAAAGATTTTCTAGGCTCCTGGCTTGTCCCTAGTTCACGGGGACACCATGGAGGGCTAGATGTAGAGACCCAGCAACCTTCTCTTGGAGGAAATGGTTAAATCAGCAGAACCAGCAGTCTGTCATTAGAGCCCCTCCCGTCCCCAGATCCCTGGAGCACTTTGATAGAATTTTAGCCACCACAGTTACAGACTCTCTGTCCTCAAACAAGGTTCCAGGAATTTGGCTTCACACAGCCCTCCACCCTGCGCATCTTGGGTCCCCAACCCATGCCTTCATTGATACCTGACCACCTTAACTCGCGTCCTCATTACTCATGACAGTTGTCCTGGTAAGGCTCACTGGCAGCAGTCAGCTGCCTCCGCTCATTCTGTCTTTAGGACCTTGGATAAGTCGGGCATCTCCAGGGGTTGGTTAGGTGCCATCAAGTCACTTCTGACTCATGCACATCACAAGGAAACACTGCCTGGCCCTGTGCTAGCCTCACAATCGTTGCCCATTGCTGTAGCCCCTGTGTCTATTTTGTAGGGGTCTTCCTCTTTCTCACTGACCCTCTGTCAAGCATGTCCTCCAGGAACTGGTCCGTCCTAATACATGTCCAAAATATGTTAGTAGTGTTAGTCACCCCATCCTAGTTTTACATCTTCCAAGATAGATTTGATTCATTCATCTGGCAGTCTATGGTACATTTAATACTCATTAACAAGTCAAAGGCATCAGTTCTTCAGTCTGTCTTACTCATTGTCCAACTTTCACATGCAGATGAGACAAATGAAAATAACATGGCTTGGGTGAAGTGTGTCTTCAAAGTGAACACCTTTGCTTTTTAATACTTCAAAGAAACTTTTTCCAGCAGATTTTCCCAATGCAATGCAGGAAATGACCTCTTGACTGCTGCTTTCATGAGCATTGATTGTGGATCCAAGCAAAGTAAAGTCCTTGACAATTTCAGTATTTTCTCCATTAGCATGATGCTGCTTATTGGTTCGGTTGTGAGGATTTTTGTTTTCTATACATTGAATTGTAATCCATATTGAAGGCTGTATTTGGTCATCAGTGTTTCAAGTCCTCTTCACTTTCAGCAAACAACATTATGTTATCTGCAGATTGCAGGTGGTTAATGAGCCGTCCTCCAATCTTGATGCCACATTCTTGATAAAGTCCAATTTCTCCGATTATTTGCTCAGCATAGATTGACTATAAGTGGTGAGAGGATACAGCCCTGATTTTAACCCTCACAGTAACTCCATGTTCTGTTCCACATGAGTATAGTGAAATTTTCTGGGACTCCCACTTTTTTGCAATCCATAATTTATGAACCTCACCTGTAATTTGTGGGCGATGCCATGTTCGTGAAACTTCAGTCAGCTAAGTGCTAAACATGGCCTGGTGTCAATATCAAGTGCCATGGAGTCGGTTCCAATTCATAGTGATACATTAAGAAGAGTTTCCAAGGACCAGCCTGTGGGTTTAAACTGTAGACCTTGTGATTAGCAGTCTGGTAGTTATCCTATACAGCCACACCAGGAATCCAGTGTCCAATGTTGTTAAGTACCCTGGATTCAGTTCTGACTCATAACAACCACAGTATAGGGTTTCCTGGAGCCCTGGTGTGGCACTGTGAGTTAAGGTGCTGGACTGCAAAGTCGGTTTGAAACGCAAGGTCAGCAATTCAAGCTTACCTGCGTTCCCTGGAAACTCTATAGGGGGTCGCTAGGAGTCAGAACCAAATCCACAGCACTTGACAACAGTAGGGTTTCTGAGGAGTAGCTGGTGAGTTTGAACCGCCTACCTGCGGTCCAGTGCATTATCCTACAGCACCACACCAGGTGTTCAATTGTTAAGTGCCGTTGAGTCGATTCCGACCCATAGCGACCCTGTATAGGGTTTCCAAGGAGCAGCTGGTGAGCTTGAACCACCAACCTTGCAGTTCAATAAGTCCCTTTTGTGGTTTCATTAGGATCCTAGTGGCTTTCTGCTATAAAGATTTATAGCCTCTGAAACCCCTACAGGGTCACTATGAGTCGGAATTGACTAGGTGGCAGTAGGTTTCATCTTGAGGTTCTAAGCAAGCGGCTGAACTCCTGGTGTGACGCTATAGGGATTACACTGCGATCCACAGGCTGGCGGTTCAACCCACCAGCTGCTCCTTGAAAACCCTAATCAGGGTCACTATAAATCGGAAACGATGGCACTTCACTCCCTAGCAAATGGCTAGCAGTCGGTTCTGGGAATGAGGTGGGTCACGTGGGCGGCTGCTCTGAGAACCCGGCATTCTGGGGCTTGTGGTCTCCTTCCAGGAGGAGCTCCGCCTCCTCAGTGCGTTCTGGTGTGGCCCGGCCCCTCCACACGTGTTCGCTGGGTTCCCTATACTAGCTGAGGGGTGAGGCGCGCCACGGCTGCACCATGACTCTGGAGGCTATCCGCTACTCGCGGGGCTCGCTGCAGATCCTCGACCAGCTGTTGTTGCCCCAGCAAAGCCGCTATGAGGCGGTGAGCTCGGTGCGCCAGGCCTGGGAGGCGATCCGCGCCATGAAGGTGGGGTCGCGCAGCTGGACTTCGGGAGGGGAGGCGGGCACCTGACGCACACCTTACGCCCCATACACCCCCGATGTCCCCACTCCAGGTGCGCGGCGCCCCAGCCATCGCCCTTGTAGGCTGCCTCAGCCTAGCCGTGGAGCTACAGGCGGGCTCTGGGGGACCCGGGCTTGCTGCACTCGTGGCCTTCGTACGTGACTCCTTGAGCTTCCTCGTCACCGCCCGGCCCACCGCTGTGAACATGGCCCGCGCCGCCCGTGACCTGGCCGACGCTGCGGCCCTGCAGGCCGAGCAAGAGGGAGCCACCGAGGAGTTGGTCCGGGAGAGGTAGGGGCCGGTGTGCGCTGAGCGCTGACCCTGTGCCATCGGTCGGTTTCCACTCAGCGACCCTTATAGGGTTTCTGAGGAGCGACCTTGAGGTCTAGTGTTGATTACAAAAGCTAATGACTCTTTTATGCACAACGGCCGGTGTCCCATTTTACAGGTCGAGAAACAGAGACTCCGCACACTTAAAAGTCCTTTGATCAAGATCGTAGAGTCGATCCCTTAGGAGAGGGACAGGGACGTAGGGTTACTTGACTGTGCTGCCCCTAGACGTGCCCAGCCCTGTCACCTTGGAAGGCCCGGTTCGGTGCCATATCCTCTTCTGGGTTTTACTTTTGAGAAATTTTATTTCCTGGCGGGCTCACTTCCGTGCTCTCTTTTCCAACCACTCCTGGCCAACAGCACGTGCCTCCCATGCTTTTTGACCCCACCAGGTTTCTCCTTAGGACCCCGGGTGATGCGGAGTTGAGTGCTGACCTCAAGAGCAGCTGTTTAAACCCACCAGTGGCTCCACAGAGAGAAAGACGAGGTTATCTGCTCCCCTAAAGATTTAGTCTGGGAAACCCTATGGAGCAATTTGACTCTCCTATAGGGTCACCTGACCCAAGCCATGGTATTTTCAGTAACCTCATATGCATGTGAAAGTTGGACAGTAAATAAGAAAGACCGTAGAAGAATTGATGCTTTTGAGTTATGGTGTTGGAGGGGAATATTGAAAGTGTCATGGGCTGCCAAAAGAACCAACAGATCTGTGTTGGAAGAAGTGCAGCCAGAGTGCTCCTTAGAGGCCAGGATGGCCAAACTTCATCTCTCATACTTGGGACATATTGTCAGGAGGGACCAGTCACTGGAGAAGGATATCATGTTTGGTAAGGTGGAGGGTCAGAGAAAAAGAGGAAGACCCCCAGCAAGATGGATTGGCCAAGTGGCAGCATCGATGGACTCAAGCATGGTAACTGTTAGTGAGGTTGGTCCAGGATCAGGCAGTGTTTCGTTCTTCTGTGCCTAAGGTCACTATGGGTCGGCACCGACTCGATGGCACCTAACAACAACAACATAGGGTCACTATGAGTCGGAATCCACTGGATGGCGGTGGATTTGGTTTTTGGTTTTAGGCTTCTCCTGCCTCAGGGCCTTTGTACTTGCGGTTTCTGTGGGCTAGTTACCTTACACCCCAGAGTCCTCAGTGTAATACAGCTTGATCTCCACTCTGGACCCCTGACTCTGCTGCCCTTCACCCTACTGCCAGCTCCACCAGGGTAGACAGTCTTGCAGGTTCCCACCCATCCAGGACCTGGATCACACAGGAGATCCTCCAGGAATATTTGTTGTTAGGTCCCATCAAGTTGGTACCTATTCATAGTGACCCTGTACACATAGTGACCCTGAAACACTACCTGCTCCTGCGCCAAACTCTCAATCCAGCCTCTCAGTCGTTGGTATATTTGTGCCAATCCATCTCCACTTTGTTGTGGGTCCTCTTTTTCTCCAACCCTTCATTTTACCAAACATGATATTCTTCTCCAGGGACTGGTCCCTCCTAACTGTGTCCGAAGTGTGAGAGACGAAGTCTAGCCATCCTGGCTTACAGGGATCATTCTGGCTATACTTCTTCCAACACAGATTGTTTTGTTCTTTTGGCAGTCCACAGTACTTTTAATAGTCTCCTTTAACACCATAGCTCAAATACATCAATTGTTCTATGGTTATCCTTATTCACTGTCTAGCTTTCAAATGCATACAAGGTTATTGAAAATACCATGGCTTGGGTTAGGTGCACCTTAGTCCTCAAGTGACATCTTTGCTCTTCAACACTTTAAAAAGATCTTGTGCAGCAGATTTGCCTAATGCAATACGTCATTTGATTTCTTGACTGCTGCTTCCATGAGTATTGATAGTTTATCCAAGAAAAATGAAGTCTTTGACAACTTCAATCTTTTCTCCATTCATTGTGATGTTATTTATTGGTCCATGTGAAGACTTTTTTCTTTACATTGAGATGCAATCCATACCGAAGACTATGTTCTTTGATCTTCATCAGTAAATATTTTAAGTCTTCTTCACTTTCAGCAAAGCAAGGTTGTATCAGCTGCGTATCGCAGGTTGTTAATGAGTCTTCCTCCAATCCTGATGCTACGTTTTTCTTCAGACTCAGCTTCTTGCTCAGCATACAGGTTGAATTAAGTATGGTGAAAGAATATAACCCTGTCGCACACCTTTCTTAATTTTAAACCATTCCCATGTTCTGTTCGAACAACCATTCCATTTTTTATATTTGTTGTAGGAGGAGTAAATGGGGTAACATTTTGGTGACTGTGGCAAACAGGTCCAGGCCTACAGTGGCAGGAGGGCACCCTACAGATCAGCACTGGACAGGAAGGAGGGGCTGGGCTGGCCTGACCGCACATGCTGAGAGCCTCTTACTGGTCCCCCAGGATGATCTGCTATGCTGAGGACATGCTAGAGAAAGACCTCAGGGACAATCGGAGCATTGGGGACCTGGGAGCCCAACACCTTCTGCAACGGGCAGCCCCTGAGGGCGGCAAGGTGACTGTGCTGACTCATTGTAACACGGGCGCCCTGGCTACTGCTGGCTATGGCACAGCCCTGGGTGAGTGGGCCTCTGCAGGGTGGGGGAGGGCCTGCCAGGGTCCCCCTCCCACAGTCCTCCAACCAATCAAGCCTTTTTTGATACAAGAGAAAGAAACCCCAACCCCAATTCCTTAACTCAGAGATAGGTGAATTTCTTAGCACTTTTAGCCGAAATACTCTGCTTCAGATGCAGCAGCTGGAACTAAGACTCTCCTATCCTTGCCCCTCTGCTCTACCCTCTCTGGTGGCTTCATCCTAGGTTCAAGTGGTCCTAGTCACAAGAACTGAGGGTCTCTTTAGCAGTGCCAGAAGCCTCCTTGTGTCTCAGGACTCAGCTGGGGTCACCTGCCCATCACAGGTCAATCACATGGGCCATCCCGAACCATTGCCTAGAGAGTGAGCAGGGTCTGCGCTCTAAGAGGACCAGGGGACTGCTTGCTTAGTCTGTCCTGTTTAACCTCAAAAAAGACTGAGTTCAGAAACACCCTACACTAATACTGCCTCATTAGCATAACAAAGAGGGCCCATTTGTCTGTAAGTGCCTTCCAGTCAAACTCCTAAGGTTTCCAAGAGCAGATTGTGGATTGAACCGCCAGTCTTGCTGTTAGCAGTCCAGTGCTTGTCCTATAGTGCCACACCAGGACTCCTAGTACCACTATGGTGTTGTGGTTAAGTGCCTTGGAGATGGTTCCAACTCACAATGACCCTGTATAGTATTTCCAAGGAGCAGCTGGTGAGCTTGAACCACTGACCTTCCAGTTCAAACGACTTTACAGTCTGACGCATTAGCCCACAGCACCACACCAGGACTACATTACCACTAAAGGGGTTAGGACTTAAACACATTTGTTCAGTCCATCACAGGAGTGGTCCCCCAAAGAGATTGGGGTAGTAGTACCAGGAAAGGGGGAAATGAGTCTTAGGACTACAGACAGCAGATTCTACTTAGTCCTGAATTCCTCGGATTTCCCTACTGTTCCAGTCCACCCTTCTCCCTGGAAACTGGAGTCTTTCCTTCATTCACTCAACAAACATTAAGCACCTGCTGTGCACCAGGTTCTGTTCTAAGCTCTGGAGACACGTAGTGAAGAAAGTAGACAAAAATATCTGCCCTCGCAGAATTCACAGGAAAGTAGAAGAAACAGACAATAAGCAAGAGAAATAAATAATTCTCTTTATTTAAAAAAAAAAAAAAAGACATGGTGTGTTAGAAGAGATAAGTGCTAAGGAGCAGAAGCAAAGGAAAGGAATCAGAGGTGTTGGAGAGCTGCTGTTTGACACTAGGGGGCCATGAAAGCCACCCCAAAAAACAAACATGAGGATGGTGAAGGAGCTGTTGTAGGAGTCTGGAAGGGTGTTGTAGGCAGGTGGAACAGCCAGTGTCAGGCCCCTTATCAGTGAGCCACCCTGCTAGTCTGTGCCTGTCTGACTTATCCCAGCCCTGTCCTGGTGGGATGGGCCCCACAGGGGTGATCCGATCGCTGCACCACCTTGGCCGTCTGGAGCGCGCCTTCTGCACAGAGACCCGGCCCTACAACCAGGGAGCCCGGCTGACAGCCTTCGAGCTGGTGTACGAGCAGATCCCCGCCACCCTCATCACCGACAGCATGGCCGCTGCTGCCATGGCTCACAGGGGCGTGTCAGGTCAGCAGGCTGCGGGAGGGAGGACTGGGCACCAGGCATCCAGGGCCGGGAGGTGATCCCTGATTTCTCAACCCCCAGCTGTCGTCGTGGGAGCTGATCGCGTGGTTGCCAATGGTGACACAGCCAACAAGGTGGGCACCTACCAGCTAGCCATTGCTGCCAGGTACCACGGCATCCCCTTCTACGTGGCCGCTCCCAGCTCCTCCTGTGACTTCCGCCTGAAGACAGGCCAGGAGATTGTCATCGAGGAGCGACCGGGCCAGGAGCTGACCGACATCAATGGGGTCAGGATAGCAGCGCCTGGTAAGCACCACATCACCATCCAGGCACCTCCGCTCCCCTCATACAGGGCCGATGCAATTTGGGGGCATCTTAAGCCTTTTGGGGAATAGATGGGTCCTTCAAGCCATTTATTCTATCTAGAGCATCTCAGAAATCAACATTCCTGGACAGAATTTATGAATAACAAGTTAGGAGACTATGAGCATATTATCTTACTATTCTCAACCTCAGTTTTTTCACCTGAAGAAGAAATAAGAAGTGGGTCACTGTATAAGATTCCAGTCTTCCTTGTGGGCAGCCACAATCCAAGAAAGACAGGAAGTCTTATTAATGGTTATGGAAACCCAGGCCCTCATTTATTTGGAGAATGAGGATCCCCAGATCCTCAGAGGTTTCTCTACAGGTGATCAGAGCTTGAGAACTTCTACAGAACCATATGACAAGGACAGAGCAAGGGGCTTCCGGGCCAAAGACATCCCACCTCTCACTCTGCCTTCTTGCACCCCTCCCTTCTCTGCCTGTAGGGATTGGGGTTTGGAATCCTGCCTTTGATGTAACCCCACACGAACTTATCACCGGCGGCATCATCACCGAATTGGGGGTCTTCGCACCCAAAGAGCTTCAGGCAGCTCTATGCACCACCATCTCCTGAGGGGGAGACCCAGAAATAACCAACCTGGTTTTCCCTACCATGCCTGAACCCCCATTTTTTAATAAATGTATGGAACGGCTTGTCCAAAAGTTGACTCTCCTCCCACAACCAGACTTCTTCATTGAGCAGGGAGAGCAGCTAGGCTGTCCAGGTTCAAATCCCAGCTCAGACAGTTTTCCCACTGTGATCTTGGGTAGCTCACTTCACCTCTTTGTGCATTGGTCTCATTTGTAAAATGGGGATCTAGAAGAAGAGTGTTGCCCTCTTCTTGATATTTCAGCTACAAAAATAAAAGGAACTCCAGAAAATTCAAGAATCAGAATAAATTACGTTTTAGCACAGTATTTTTTTTAAGGCAAACTTAATACCAAAAAGGGAAAACCAAAAAAAAAAAAAATCTACAATGAAAAACAGACGAACGTTTTAAATAGACGATCACACCTAATCTTACTCACTCACCTGACCCCTAATACTGGCCCTGATTACAGCAAAACCTTATTTGCCAAAACAGGTTGTAGTTTGCCAATTTACTTTTTTTTTTTTTAATGTTAAACTAGCGTAGTGGTTACGAATCGGGCTGCGAACCTTAAGGTCAGCGGTTCGAAACTACCAGCTGCTCCGCGGGAGAAAGATGAGGCTTTCTACT